CATACTAGATGGCGAAAGAGAAGACGTGGCGGGCTGGGGCCCCAGCTCATCAGGAGAGTTTTCTGTCTCGTCTGCATACTCCCTTATATCTAATCAACAGCCGTATCCAGAGTCGCGCAAATGGAAAAACATATGGAAATTGAAGGTCCCAAGCAAGATGCAATTTTTCATGTGGCTAGTAAGGCACAACAAAATTATGTCCAATGAGAATAGAGCCAAGAGAGGATTTACAGAGAATACCAGCTGTGATCTATGCCATGACCAAGTGGAATCAACAGAACACATCCTCCGCAACTGCCCGATGGCTAGACAACTATGGGAGAACTTGCTACCCAACACAAGTAGACCACACCACGGCTCAAACTTCTTGGACTGGCTGGATGCAGGCTTGGAAGGCTGGTACTGCAAGAGACGTAGCCAGAGCAACAAAATCACATTCGCAGTTGCCCTATGGTGGATTTGGAGATGGAGGAACGATAGGATTTTCAATGAGGAGAACCCAAGTTTGAATCAGAAAATATATTGGATTCACATGCAATGCAAGGAAATAAATGATGCCTTCAACAAAGCAAGCACATTGGGTACAGGATCATCAATTCGCAACTGGAAACTTATCAAATGGAAGAAGCCTCCGCAAGGTTGGTCAAAAGTTAATACCGACGCTTCCCTGAGCCCAACGGCTATGCATGCAAAATGCGGTGGAGTTATCAGAAATGAGCATGGCAATTGGATTAAAGGTTTTTCTTACTCAGTTGGAGCCTGCTCAATCGACGCTGCGGAAGCCTGGGCACTCCTCAAAGGTATCCAACTAGCTATCTCTCTAAATCTAGAGAAAGTATGCTTCGAAAGTGACTCTCTAAGAATAGTCAAGGCAATGAATAGCAACGGGACGGTGGACAACGTCGCAAGGAATATTATTCATGCATGCAATCGGGAACTCTTAAATATTGCAAATTGGATAATTTCATACATTCCCAGGGAGCAGAACCGGGTGGCAGACGGCCTAGCCAAGCTTCATGATATATCAAGTGGTTTTAAAATCCATGACACAGAACCGGAGAGCTTGATGCACCTCACAGAAGAAGACAGATTTGGCCTTCCTTTTTGGAAACAAATAGATAGTCCCACCATGTAATTTTTTTTCTTGGGTACCCCCCTTCCTTACTTTCAAAAATAAGACCTGTATCTTTATAACTCATTTGTTTGATACCAGCTAACACTACACAACTAATTTACCACATACTTTCATACAAAACACTAATACTATTCTTTTTTTTTTTTTTTTGAAAACAAAACACTAATACTATTGGTTAATTAACAAAACCGCTAATACAATAAAATATTAACTATATGTTAACACAATATGCTATAAACTACATACTATCTATATGCTAATTGCCAAACATTTACTATATTAGTTATATATTGACTGTTTGATTCACATAACACTTTGTAAGATTTAACAACATTATACAAAATAAGATATTATCAATAAATAAATAAATTTGGAAAAAAATAATGACAAACATTTTATTGATTTTAAAATTTGACATCATATTGTATCGCATACAATATGATCAACATTTAGCCTGTTAGTTAAACCGACGTCCGTACAAACAAAAATTAATTTGAGTGTGGTACAGACTTAAATATGAAAAAAAAAAACAAAATAAATATGAGACATTGTGTATTGCATAAAGAGGTTATAGAAATTCTCAAGTAATATACCTTTTTTTTTTTTTTCTCTCTTTCTATCCCAATTTAGACGATTTTGTAAATAATATTTTACGTACAACAAATTTAATTAAAAATTTTAAAAATAATAAAATAGATAAAAAGTTATACGGTATCTATATAAGTGTGTCCTACAATTTAAAATATAAAGTGGGAATATGCCATTTGTTTAATAGGTAACTTTATTATGGGATTGTGAATGGTATTGTTATGATTTGCTCTAAACATCACCAAGCTAGTATTATACAAATTAATATTGTGTACTACTCCATATTTTAATGGTATACCAAAAGATTTTCATGTTCATCTAAAGAGATATGTACTGTATTATTATATAATAGTATGTGATATTCTATCTTCTCAAGATACACTATGGTATCATATGTTAATTAAACAGTATGATATCACAATTTTCTCTTTTAGTAGATTCTTGCCTTTCCCATTACTGAATATCATATGCTTTCCTCTTCCCTCAAACTTCCATTATATCAAAGATTATTATATTATAGTCAAAGATCTTGTGGTCGAGTGGCATAATTGTTGCTCTTTCAAATGGGAGGTCACAAATTCGAATTTCAGTGGAGATATTGACTGTAACAGATTACTCAAATACTAAATTAAATATTATGAAAATTGAAATTATAAATAATTTCAGTCAAGCTTGGTTATCGAATCATACACATAAAATATGACTAATTTAAGTAGCAAACACGAGATTGTTTTTCATAATATGTTTAAAAAATAAAAGAAAATATAACTCTTAAATGATTTAAGTATGATTCCATCAAAATGAACAAAATAAACACAAAATTAAGTGACAATGAGTTTAATTTTCTTTTAAATAAGAATCTGAGTTGGGTTTTGTGATGAATCAACAAAGACAAGAAGAGTTGATCCAATTTCAAATTAATTAAATACGGAGTATAATATAAAAAAGGGGAAATGACACGTTTTCTGTTATATGCTTATATGTAGTGGCAATTTCTCCTCTTTATTCTTAAATGGACATTTTACCCTTAAAATAAGTATTTTATTTATTTTTTTCTTTAACAAATTATTGCTTATGTAGGGATGAGTACGTTGGATTCGAACCTGACCGGACACTGTAACAATCAAATCGAAATAGTAGGGGCGGATTTGGTTATGATTTAGAATCGAAATAAAATAAAATAAAATAATTGTTGAATTTAGGTTATTTTAAAAATAAGAAATAAAATTTATAATAAATAAATAAATAAATTTTGAATCGGCGGTTCAAAACCGAAACTGGAACCAAACCGAACCGAATTTCATTTACTAATCGTGTTTGATCATTTTTCACATTTATTCTAATTCCACATATAAGTAGATATTACTGTGGTTCGGTTCCGGTTCACAATTCTGGGAAATGATAAATTGTAACGGAAACCTTTTAGGAAGGTTCCAGTTTTGGTTTGAACCGCCAGTTAGGTTCCAGTTCACGGTTCTTGGAAATGATAAATCAAAACGGGAACCTTTTAGGAAGGTTCCAGTTTCGATTTTAACCGCCAGTTCAAAATTTATTTATTTATTTATTTTTGTAAATTCTATTTCTTATTTTTAAAATAGTCTGAATTCAACAATTATTTTATTTTATTTTTTTTCTGAATCGTAACCAGAATTGTCCTTACTGTTTTGGTTCGGTTGCTACAGTGTACGATTAGGTTCAAACTGAATCGTGGTTATCCATACATATAAGCACTAATTTGTTGGTGAAGAAAAATAAACGAAATACTTATTTTTAAGGATAAACATGCCCATCTAACATAAAAGGGGGAAAAATCGTCACTTTTAAATAACTTAGAGGACAAATGTTGATACATAATAACTCTAAGGGAAAAAATGTTATAAGCATATAACTCGAGGGGGAGGGGAGTATTATTTTCCCTATAAAAAATTCATAATAAACAACTGGGTGGAGGAAGAAAGATTTGAATTGGGTGCAATGTCACACAGGATTTGCGTGATTGTGTTAGACTCAATGGATGGATGAACCACTAGCATGCCATAAAATGGGTAGGGGGAATAATAACATCAAGGGTAATTCTGCAATAGACGTTAAGGTCTGACCAAGTTAGCTATACCGACACAATTAAGTTCGGAGAACATTCCCTAATCTTGGACTTGACTATGAAACGGATCGAAGCGATTCAAAGGGCACAACTGGTCAGGAGCTATTGCTGCTCATAGCAGGACGAAATAAGTTTCAAACTATATGAGGATAAAGCTGATCCGCATGGTAAGAGGGGCCCGAGACACCACACTAGTAGTCTGGCACTGTGCACGACGCGAAACTCTAGGTGTGTCACAATAGTTTTCACAAATTATGTCACACGCTGGAGTGTGAGAATCTCGAAACGAGAAATTTTATTTTTGAGTAAATACTCAAAATGGTCCCTCGACTATAACTAAATTCACAATTTGGTCATCGATTTTCAATTTCAACCAATTAAGTTCTTAACTTTGTAATTTTAACACAATTTCGTCCTCTGTCTATTTGACCGTTTGTTGACTGTGATTTTGAGGATATATATGTAATTTTATGGTCCATCGTCGGTTTTTTAAGGTTCCGGTTGCATTTCCAGACCGCACTGTTACATTCGAATTCACTGCCGAAAGCGATCTACCAAATCCGGTCGCCTTTCTTCATCCTCCCTTTGGATTCAATGTAGTTGTGTTCGTACCAGAGCGAAGAAGACGACATGTTTCTGAACCGGTGCAAAGTCATCCTGGAGGCCTCCACGTGCTCCGACGAGAGCTGAATGTTCTTCTGGAGATCGTCGATCACGGTCAACAAACGGTCAAATAAATAGAAGACCAAATCGTGTCAAAATTACAAAGTTAAGGACTTAATTGGTTGAAATTGAAAGTCAAGGACCAATTTATGAATTTAGCTATAGTCGATGGACCATTTTGAGTATTTACTCTTTATTTTTTTGTGGGCAAGTATTTGAATTGGGATGGTATTAGTAGGAGGTGGTGGGAGCATTGAACGAAATTATGCGATACATTACATGGGACAGAGGTGTGGTATAGTACATATGCAAAGGAGTAGTACGGAGTATCTTGTTGGGGTTTATGAAATTTCTAAAAGGCAACAATGCCAAGAGATTAGGAGGGGAAGGAAGAAAGAGGGTCAGATAAAAGGACAACTGAGATAATGCGATGTAGATTTCCTAAGATCTTTCTGTATCTCTGCTTTAGTCTTTTAGCTTCCCTAAAGTCGTTGTTTTTTCTCCCTCTCTCTCTCTCTATATCTTTCTATATCTATGCACACTACGTACACGTATACACACCTCATTCGCCTCCCCCTCTCTCTCTCTCTCTATGTGTGTGTACATACATAAATACGCTCACCAACATTTCTTTCTTTGTACAATTCCATTTTCTTGGACTCCAAGCATCTGCCTTCTGCAAAACTTTAACACCCTTTTTTGGTTTAGTTCCTAGAATTGAAGATATGGTCATGGGGAAGACGGAGAAAGTCGCCGCCGGCGATGATTGCTGTTCCGGCGGTGTACATGAGTTGCATGTTCTTGCCGTCGACGATAGCCACGTCGACCGGAAGGTCATTGAGAGGTTGCTCAAGATCTCTGCCTGTAAAGGTTTGTTCTTTGAACCTTTTTTTTTTTTTTTTTTTTTTTTTTCTTTCCATTTTTTTATTGATTTCTGAAAGTGTTGAAATGTGGGATTTACAGTTACAGCGGTAGAGAGTGGGAGCAGAGCTCTACAATATCTGGGCTTGGATGGAGAGAAAGGCTCTGCTACAATTGATGTAAGAATGAAAATGAAAAAGTTTTTTTTTTTTTTTTTGAAACCAGTGGAGTCTTAGAATCTGAAAATGGGATCAAAGATTGAAGCTTTAATCTTTTTTGGGTGTTGGGTCTAAAGCTTAAAAGGGGTTTACTTAAACTAAAGAAAAGTTCATTAAAGAATGATGCTTTGGAGTTTTCTTAGGTTGGGTGTTTGTGAAACTTAAGGTACTGCTTGTTAACTTAATCATATGTGGTTGTTTGATTGGATTCATGAATGAGGTAAAGATTAAGATTAAGGGACAGCTTATGTGGGGTAAAGCAGTAAAGGAAAAGGCAATTTAAAGATTAAAGTTAAGTAAATTTGTTTTTGGAGTTAAGTTAATTAAGGTATCCTTGGTTTCAGGGTCTGAAGGTAAATCTGATAATGACAGACTATTCAATGCCTGGGATGACTGGTTATGAACTACTCAAAAAGATTAAGGTTTGTAAATTGTAAATTGTAATTCAATATTCCCTTTCCTTCCTATTGTTTCATGACCCTTAAACTTTTATGCTCTTAAATGATGAGATTGATCCTTTCTCTCTGAGCAGGGTTCTTCAGCACTGAGGGAAATTCCTGTTGTGATAATGTCATCTGAAAAGGTTTTAGCTCGCATTGATAGGTATATATTCCTTCCATCTGATTCAAACTAAATATATTCGATTTTAGCTGACTGACTCGAACCAAGAAGGCCAATAGGCCGCTCCTATTTTAGGAGCAGAAGTTGTAACCTTGATGCTACCAAATCAACTGTCTGACCAACTTAGTTGGGGTTGATCTTCATACATTCTTGATTGTTGGGCAGAGGCCGTGAAGGGCTAAGTCAAGCACCACCAGGTAGCTAGGGATTGTTAGATGGAGGTTAAAGGGCCAAGTCCAGTGCCTTGCCTCTCGAAAATGTGGCGGTATATAAAGAAATGAAGTTGTACCTTAGCTATGTGCTCTAGCTTTTAGTGCAATGGTAAGGGCTTAAATCCTTCATACATTCTTGATTGTTGGGCGGAGGCCCATGAAGGGTCAAGTCCAGCACCATCAGGTGGCTAGGGGATTGTTAGGTGGAGGTTAAAAGGCCAAATCCAGCATCTTACCTCTCGAAAATGTGGCAGTATATAAAGAAATGAAGCTGTGCCTTCGCTATAGGTTCTAGCTTTTAGTGTAGTGGTAAGGACTTAAGTCCTAGCAAGTGGTAACCGGTTCGGGTTCTAGCAATAGTAAAAATTGTGCAGTTAAGGCACTCGGGTGCTGGGAGGGGGGAATTGTTGCTGCTTTTCATAAGATTGTCATTAGAAGATGCAAAAATTATGAAAGTTTGGATCTGTTTCATCTAATTGCATATCTTTCACAACAAATAGATGTCTGGAGGAAGGGGCTGAGGAGTTTCTGATGAAGCCTGTTAAGCTGTCCGATGTGAAGCGTCTTAAAGATTTCGTGCTGAGAGGAGATGGGGAGAGCAAAGAGGCGGGAGCAACAACCCGTAAGAGGAAATCGACAGATGAATCGTTCACAAGGCCGCCATTATCTCTTTCCTTGGCGTCGTCTTCGCCCTCCATCCATCCCGAGACTACTACGCCTCTGTCCCCGAGGTGTTCATCAGTTGCACTGCCACTTCCTCTCTCGAAACATCCTAGACTGCACCAAGACACTGAGCCACTGGTTGATCCCTGAACCATATATCTCAGTTTTTGAATTTTGATTTTGGGTACCCTTTGCCCTTCTTTGCCTGGTTAATTCACACTTGTACATGCTTACCTGTAGAAACACCATTTCACACCTTTGGGGAGAAGGAAAATGTTCAGATATGGAAGGAAAAAATTATATATATCTTAACCTGATTTTGTTCACATTTTTGTTTTGTGGATTCTAATTCTGTAAATCTGTAATTTATGTTGTTTGGTTGGATGATTTGATGTTTTGATGTTTTGATTCCCACAACAATGTTGTGTCCATTCATGCATATTGTTGATTTGGACTTGACATACAGTACTAGCATAATCTATGACTCATGGCATGGCATCATAAGTATTGCAGAAAAAGTGATGAGAATGTTGCAAGTTATCCCATCACCAAAGTCTCTTTTTTTTTTTTTTTTTTTTTTGTGTGGGGGGGGAGGGGGGTTAAAAAATCAAACTTATTATATTGTCTAATTTAGTTTAATGTAATATTGTCTAATAATATCAATTTTTTAGGTGAGGAGGAAAATTTACATCTCAAAAGTAGGAGTAAATTTCTTTTATATAATAGTTTGCAAATCACACATGAGAAGTAAATTGCAATAAAAAGACCATGTGTGGTGAGATCGATTAAAAGTGTGTTAGTAAAAATTAAATTCGTGACTTTTATAGTACAAAAGTTATGGTTCACCTATTCGCACACCCCTTTAAGGATGTAATAATATCGTTTTCATGTTATATTATATGATTTTAGTATTATGAACTTTATTAATAAGCGCAATACAATAATAAAGAAATTTATAAATTTTAGAAAATGTCAAACATATTTTTCAAAAGACTTGATCAAATAACTAATCTGGCCAACACTTTGCCCTTTAATTGGGCCGGCTTGGTACGAATGTGGATTAATTTGAATATGGTACATGTTTAAAAGCAATAGTTATGCTGTGCAACCGTGTGCATCATGCATAGTGCACACGGTTGCAAAACGATGTCGTTTTGATTAAAAACGCGCGTCCCATTTAAAAAAAAAAATCAGTTTCGATTCCCCTCAACAGCATTAAGGGGTGTGCACACGGTTGCACAACATAATTTGCGGATTTAAAAGTGCCTCCTATAGTTAGGCCTGCTCAGACACCTCATGATCTAACCAAAAAAAAAAAAAAATTGATCAAATAAGTGTAGTAAAAATTGTAATTAAGTCCTCTAGTTAAAAAAAAGTCCAATTGAGGCCTCTTGAACTAGTAAACCAGTGCAATTGAGTTTTAATCTAACACATTTAACAAGTTATTGATGATGTACACATTTTTCTATAATTTACGTGAATCCTAGTGGCATACACATGGTGTTCTAATTTTATTTTAAAAAATCAAAGGTAATTGTCTAATTGCCATAATAATAGCCATTGAGTATCTTTGAAGGAGAAAATTGATGCCTGTTTCCAATGATAAATAGTTGTGACGGTTTAAAAATATAAATGCAACTGTGACTATTTTAAAAAATTTCAACTTATTGAAATTTTTTATAAGTTTTTTAAAAGGCAACAATGACATCCTTTGTTACCTTCTAAGACTAAGTGACTATTGGCCGCCTTGATTTAGAGGGTGATGAAAAGGCAGCCATGGCCGCTTTTATCTCAAAGAGTGACAAAGGCAACTATGACTGCCTTCTTCACAAATGTCTAGATTTGGACACAAAAGGCAAATTCTTTCTAGTCTTGTTGGAGGAACCGTTTTCATTTGAGAGAGTGTGGCCACAAGTACGTCTAATCGGTCAAGACACACGACTCATTGGCAACCATGAATAGAATAGGCTTTGAAACCTATAATTAAACCACTTATCACTTGCCGAGTCTTTGGATGCAACCGAATGACCTTTGTCGGCTTATAAGGCAACTAGATCACCAATTTCCAAGACTTAGTAAATTTTTTTTCTTTGCTTGCTCATTCATCCTTTGCTTTGTGTTTCTATAGGTGCACTAGTTATGGATTTCGATGAGAAGCTTGAAGGACTGATAAAGGGAGGTCTCCATGATCAAGCCAAGGTCCAAAATGACAAATTAAAGGCCATTAAGGTCTCCTTGAAGAAGTCTTCCAAACATATGCATATGTTAGCCGATGTTGTAGCACCCATTTGGTCAATAACAACTGTATGAGCTTTTATTCCCAATGCTCTCCAAGGCGATCTAGTCGGTTCCAATACGCTAAAGCAAGTTGTAGCCTAGGCCTTTCTTCAAGGCCAAGAAATTCATGCAATAGTATCTCTATAGCTCCCTCGATGAGATTCTACTAGAAGACTGAGAGCAAGTGAAGGTTGCCCTTCTTGCTATAATGTGATCGAGAGCCTGACCCACCTCCTTTCACCAAGCCTTCCGCCATCGGCAAATTATATCGGGCACCCGGGCGCACAATGCATTGTGTGCCTGAACCAAAACAATGTCGTTTCTATAAGTTGGGGGAGTTGACGCAACGGTTTCATCCATCCAATCTCGTTATAATTTTTTTTTTTTTATTTATGTGTATTATGTTAAGAGTTCATGTGTATTATGTTAAAAGTTTGTGTGTATTATGTTAAGAGTTTATGTGTATTATGTTAGATTATGTGTATTATGTTAGGACTAAGGAGTTTATGTGTATTATGTTCTACAATTCTGTACATACGAAACATGAAATTTTTTAGAGTGCACAATGCAGTGCACAATATAACGATTGTCCGCCACCTTGACCGGCCCATGTACTCCGCCGGAGATAGGTTGCCTTGGAGCAACGATTGAAACTGCCCCAGGAGATTCAGGCATCGGGCCCTCGTGCTGGAGCCTAGGGCGGCGGTGATGGAATCCCAAACCTCCTTTGCCGTATTCCGGCCAACGGCAAGGTGGAGCACCTCGTCGGCCATGGAAGAAACAAAGAGCGACAGAATGGATGTGTCCTGCTTCACCCATGCCTTGAACTCTGGATTGGGCACGGGGCCGGTGGCTGCCACGCCGGAGTTGGAACTTTCGGACGGAGAGCCGTCGACGGTGGCTGGTGACAAGGAGTTTCGCCAGTGACGAAGCCGAGCAGTTCTTGGCCCCGTAGAAAAAGAACCAGTTGTGTGCGGCAGGACAAGAAGTTTCGGGATGTTAGTTTAATCGACACAAAATGATGTGCCGAGGATAGAGGGTTCGAGGTGGTGGCCGGAGGTGGGGCGGTGGTGGTGATTGTTCCTTCTGGTGAGTTTGTCGACAATTTGGGGTGGTGGGAGAGAAAACAGGAGGATCTAACGTAAGGTATAACTGATACCAGATGAGAAAGAGAAATTCAAATTCAGATTAATCAGATAGAGATTACAATACTAAAGAGGTTTAGGAAACGTAAACCTCTCCTATCTATTAGGCTAATCTAAACCAATCAACTAGGACCACATAAATAATAGCATACTATAACAGAAAAATAATATAAGCAAGTAACAACATTATTGACAGTTTGTACATATCAAGAGACCGATCTCGTGCTAGGTCGGTCGGAATACTTTTTCCTTGGTCTATAGTGGATGCTTAACAAATTTCTCTTTTCTTTTTTCTTTTTTTGAAAACCAATTTCTCCCTTTTATTTGTCTTTTAATTGATTTTTCTTGTTTTGAATGTACTTTTAATATATTAAACATGTATATTGAATATATTCATGGTCTACACAGATATGTGGACTATAGTCCACATAATAATTTGGCAGTCATGTGCATGCTTAGTCCTATCATTTAATAGGCCTGGGGCATACCGAAAAAATAGGTCCTATCTAAAGTTGTATAGTTTTATACCTACAATTTTAATTATATAAAGAAAAAAAATACTAATATCAAATAACTTGAAATAAGATTCACAAGTTTTGAAAAATTTTACATACACAACAATAATTATGAAAAAAAAAATATAAATAAATACTCTGTAATCAATAACTGCATTATTGCTTCATAAATAAATAATTATAAGTTATAAAATGAATAAAAAAAATTAAAATTAAATAAGCTTACCAACAATAACATTGTTATCATAATAAATAAATAATAAATTAATTATTAATAAAAATTTATAAAACAAAACTTACAAACAGTGACGGAGCTAAAAATCTTTTTGACTGTGGGAGTGAGAAATCAAAATATTTTAAAACGTGATAAAAAATTCATAACAAAATATGAAACATAATTAATTGGATAAAATGGTTTGAATAGGAAAAACATTATAAATAACACATTTTTTATATTGATATGACATTGACTAGATGATTCATTTAGAAAAAAAAAATATCTTTTAATTTGTTCTTTTAATAACTAAATCACAAAATATATTTCATGTAAATTAATTAATAAAGTTAAATAATATTTACAATTCATAACTCATTATAAGAGATAAAATTGACCTGAGGCTCCCCCTTGGTCACCTTATCACGCATAAAATGATAGTCTATTTCAACATGCTTAGTACGAGTATGAAAGACAGGATTAGCACAGAGATAGGTGGCTCCCAAATTATCACACCATAGCCTGGGAGACACAGAAAGAGGCAGACCCAACTCACGTAGTAAGGCAACCAGCCAAGTGACCTCAGCCAAAACATCTGCCAATGCCTTGTATTCTGCCTCAATAGATGATCGAGCCACAGTCCTCTGCTTCCGACACGACCATGAAATCAAATTGGACCCGAGATAAACAGTGTAGCCATTGGTAGACTTCCGATCCTCAGGCGAGCCGACCAAATCAGAGTCACTAAAAGCATGCAGAACATCCTAAGAAGAGTGACGTAAGCGCAAGCCAAAATGTAAAGTACCTTTGATATAACGCAAAACCCGCTTCAACATAGCCCAATGAGCAATAGTAGGAGAGTGCATGTGCTGACATAACCTGTTCACTGCAAAAGACAGGTCAGGACAGGTCATTGTCAGATACTGCAAGGCACCAACAAGACTCCTGTAGTGCGTGGGATTAGCATAGGGCTCAACAGACCCAAGATCCGCCTTAGCCACAGAGAGTGGCATGACCAAGGCCTTACAATCAACCATACCTGCCCTTTTTAAAATATATATCACCCATGTACCGGCGTTGAGACAACAACATACCACCAGGCACAGAAATAATCTCAATACAAAGAAAGAAAGAAGGGCCACCCATATCACGCACCTTAAAAGCAGTAGACAACAGACTAACCAAAGAAGAAACACAAGCTGAATCAATCCCCATAATCAAGATATCATCAACATA